ATTCTTCAAGCCATGGAACTGGATCGAGGATGTGATGAGCTGAATCCAGCATGGCTTGATCTCGAAGTTGTTTGCTGGAATCGGCGGGTAGAGGATGACCGGGCGGATATCAGCAATCCGCGGAGTGTAGTAGTACTCCAAGGTGGGACCCGGCTGCGGTGGATGATGAACTCCATGATCCTGGGGTATGGGGTTGTTCCCCAGGACCTGATTCACCGGGGGAACCTGCTGTGGATTCCCCTGGTGTTGGTTGTAGTCTCCGTCCATCCCGTGCTCTTCTTCAGAATCGCTGCTCAGGTGGCCGTCTATGCGCTCTTCCGTAGCCAGTCTAGCTCGCAGTTGTCTCCTGAGCTGGCGACAGGTGCGGTCAATCTCTGGATTCAACGGCAGTAAACCTCCCGACTGGCTACGGGTCATGCACTACCTGCACACACTCAAGCAAGCAAACCCGTGAAGGCACAAGTGGGACAAAGCAAACAAAGCAAAAAGAAAAGCTAAATTAACAGAAATCACTTTTCTTCAACAACCTAGCCGTCCCCGGCAACGGCGCCAAAAACTTGACTCGACTCTACGGTCACTCCAGGAATTGGCCAAGTGAAACCACTTCCTAAAGCGTAGTATAGCGGGTTAGGTTTATATGTCAACCCGGGTCCTAGATCTGATGACTACTCAGTGAATTCTTGTTATCTAGCAATGAAACTGGCATGCAAGTCTAAACTACCAAACAAACAAAGCAAGTAAACTGGTTGTATTCAGGTTAAAGAGGTCACCCGGATATGGTTCCCCCTAGACTGCAGTTAAGCCGGATTGTAATTACCAAGTTTAGTTTCTATGATAGTTATACTGCGGAAGGTTCTTAAAAAGCCTGAAGTCTCGACTAAAGGTCTTCAGACCCTCTCAATCTGACTCTCTAGCGGGCGACTAACCTCCACCGAAGTCGACAGATTGAGGCCCTAAGAACAAAACCTCCACTACCGGAGTAAATCCGGTACAGAATAGTGAGTTGGCTCCTCGACTAAAGTCACCAACTCCCTACCTTCAATCAAGGATACTCTATTAACCTAGGCAGATATTCTCATTCTAGGTTAAAGCAGAAACAACAGGAATTTGATCAGGATTCAAGTCATTCAATCATTAAAACCTCAATCGAATATAATCAATCACAGAATCAGTACTTGGGTTCATACAATCAAAGCCTAACATACAAATCTAGGGTTCTCCATACCCAGATGAATGGGAGAACTACTCCATAGAGAAGAAAGCAAAAGCAGAATCAGACACGGAATTCATACTGCGAAGGATGGATTCCTGCTTCTGGACGTTGATTGGCACTTCTCCAAGCTCAAGCTGGCCTCCAATGGTGTTGAAGATCAATCTAGGGCACTTGGGAACTCTTGCTCGTCACTCTCTCTCTCTAGGAACTGATCTCTCTCTCAAAAACTCGAATCCCCCTTCTTTGGTTCGGAATTTGGCTTAAAACCAGGAAATCCCGACTCGCACGGCCAGGGTGCACGGCCGTGCATATCACCATTCCGGCTGTGCAACTCAAAACGTAGCGTGTCATTTAGTCGAACTTCAGCCCTCTAGCACGGCCAGGGTGCACGGCCGTGCGAGCTTCAGGGGTTGCCCGTGCGTGTCCTCGGCATAAGGCGCACGGCCATATTGCTCAGGTGCACGGCCGTGCAGCCTCCCTGGTCTGCCCGTGCAGCTTGCTCAGCCTCTGTTTAATGCTTCGTTTCTCCCTCGTCCGGACTCCGAATCAATCGCCGTTTGATCCCAGACGCTCGTAGTCTCGTCCTCTTTCGTTTCATAACAAGCTTGCATGATTCTTTGTCCATAAAGTGAGGTAGAAATCCATTCTTCTTCAGGTCATGCCCGAGTTTCTTCTCTCGAATCGTCAATTGATCTCTGATTGACTTGAAACTTGCGCCTATGATTCACTTTATGTGCTAGGACCTGAAATGGGACAAAGGAATACAACCTAGCATAAAATAGGCCAAAGACGCAATAATTCAAGCTCAAACAATCAAGAAACAAAGGGGAAAACATGTGCAAATACCGAGTCATCACTTACATTCTCCCACTTGGCACATGTGTCATTATATATCACATGGTCTAATAATAAACATAAGTGTGCACATCATATACGATAAATCTATCATAATATTTGGTTCACCATATAGTCACAATCAAATATGAAAGCTAGATTAGGATCATGGCGGTTGTATATCAATATATCGACATAGTCCCTTCCATGTACCACAAAACCAGTCTCATGCTCAATATGACACATAACAAAGTATTCATAATGTTCCAACAATAATGTCTTCCCTAAAGACAAAAATCTTGTTTTGTTCACATAATGCATAATGTATGTATACTGATCATAATAAATAAAACAAGATTCATAACTTTATTCCAGAAACAAAATAAATGAGCTCAAAGTGTCAATCCATAAAATAACTTTAGTCATGACGTCGTATAATCCCCATCCTTTCGACATGTTCATTAAATGTCTTAGGAGACAATCCTTTTGTTAATGGATCAACAATCATAAGCTGTGTGCTATTATGCTCGATCGACACCCTTTGTTTATGAAATTCTTCCTTAACGACAAAGTATTTCACCTCCATATGCTTAGCACCCTTCGAATACTTGTCATTCTTAGAGAAGAATACCGCTACAGAATTATCACAATAAATTTTCTGCGACTTGGCGATAGTGTCGACGATTCCAAGCCCAGAAATAAAATTCCACAGCCATAAACCATGATTCGTAGCTTCATAACAAGTTATGAATTCAGCTTCCATAGTGGATGTGGCAATAATAGACTGCTTCACACTTCTCCATGAAATTTCCCTTCCAGCCAGAAGGAACAAATAGCCAAAAGTAGAGTTCATGGTGTCTACACATCCATCATAATCTGAATATGAATATCCAATCATCTCAAGGTGATCAGATCTCCTAAAGGTGGGCATGTGATCTTTTGTTCCTTGCAGATACCTTACTACCTTCTTTGCAGCTTTCCAATGATCTACTCCTAGATTACTTTGATACCTGCCCAACATTCTGACAGCAAATTGATGTCTGGTCTGGTACAAGTTTGTGCATAGCTCAAACTTCTAACAATAGATTCATAAGGAATGTGTTCCATTTGCTTGCGTTCAATTCATTCTTTGGACATTGTATGAGACTAAATTTATCTCCCTTCTGAATTGGAATGACATTTGCAGAGCATTCAACTATGTTGTATATCTCTAGGATTCGGTTAATGTATAATTTATGAGACAATCCCAACAGTCCTTATGATCTATCACGAAATATTTCTATTCCAGTCACATAGGATGCCTCACCCAAATCCTTCATTTCAAAGTTCTTATAGAGAAACTCCTTATTTTGATGTAATAAACCAAGATCATTAGTAGCAAGCAAGATATCGTCAACATACAGAACTAAAATTATAAACTTACTCCAGCTAATCTTCAGATATATACATCGATCGATGATGTTTCCCTTAAATCCAAAAGATGTAATGGTATCATTGAACTTAATATACCATTGTCGGGAAGCTTGTTTAAGTTCGTATATTGACTTCTTTAATTTACACACCATATGTTCTTTTCCCTCAACCACAAAGCCTTTAGGTTGATCCATATAGACTGCTTCATCTAAATTCCCATTCAAAAAGGAGGTTTTCACATCCATCTGATGGAGCTCTAGATTATAATGAGCTGTCATTGCCATAACAATCCTTAAGGAGTCTTTCTTAGAAACGAGTGAAAATGTCTCTTTATAGTCAACACCACTTTTTTTAGTAAAACCTTTGGCAACAAGTCTGACCCTGTGTCTTTCGATATTGCCATTAGAGTCGTGTTTGGTCTTCAAGACCCATCTATTACCAACTCTTTTACAACCTTCAGGCAATCAACAAGGTCCAAAACTTCATTTTTATACATAGATTTCATCTCTTCTTTCGCGGCAGCTAACCATTTATCAGAATGCTCACTTTCCATGGCTTGTGAAAATGAAACTAGATCATGATAGAGTCCTAAATCAGATTCTAACTCTTGAAGATAAACCTAATAATCATCAGAAATTGCAGGTCTTCGATTTCTTGTAGACCTTCTTAATGCGATTTCTTGTGGTTCATCTCTGTTAGGTTCATTCTCAATAATAATATTAGGTGGTGCTTGACCGTTCACTTCTTGTTCTTGCAAATCATTATCATGCTCAACATGTGCAGGAGCAACAACTTGAGAAGAGGGTAGAGGCAAAGATATTTGCACTCTAACTTCTCGAATTTCCACATTGCGTGGCTTTAAGCTCCCATTAACTTCACCATTCTCAATGAACCTAGCATTTCCAGTTTCAACAATTCTCGTACTATGATTAGGGCAATAAAATTGATACACCTTAGATTTTTGTGGATAGCCAATGAAGAAACCACTAATTGTTCGTGAGTTCTGTTTCTTTTCATGTGGATTATATATTCTTAGTTCTGCTGGGCAACCCCAAACATGCAGGTGCCTTAAACTGGGTTTCCTTCCCATCCACAGTTCAAAAGGTGTCTTAGGAACTGCTTTACTAGGAACCCTGTTTAACAAATACACAACGGTCCTTAAAGCATGCATCACAATGATTTGTGTAAAGATGAATTGCTAAACATACTCCTATGTCCTAACAATATCCATTAAAGTAGAATTCCGCCTTTCTGCAACACCATTTTGTTGCGGTGTTCCTGGCATAGTGTATTGAGTAGGGCTGCTAACCGGTAATCCGGTACGGTTATCGGTTAACCCGTTAACCCAATCAAACGGTAATCGGATGGAAGAATTGGGAGATCGGTGTACCGAGCTCGGACCGGTAAATTACCGTCGGCTGAACGGTATTCCGATACCGATTTGGACTAAGCAATCGCCATTCGCCAAACCCAAACGTCGGCAACTCATCAAAAGTCCAAAGTCTCCAAGTCCAAACAGAAGCCCTACCCTATATTTGCAATTTTGCATCGCGCTTTATTTCCCATGCTGCCCTACCCTGCTGGCTGCTGCACGAGAACGACTGCACGATTGGTCGATTGCCGTCTGCCGATCACTCTTCCGTTCATCCAATTCGACAGTAGCTTCGTCGTCTCCGTCGTCGGCAACAAGCTGTCAAGCTCCATCCAAGCGACAGACACGACACAGTCCAGCAGCTGTCATCCTCACCGCCAGCCTCTGTTTTTGGCAAGCCTTCCGTCGTTGCCCTATTTCCGTCGAACCCCGTCGTCGTCGATCGAAACCGGTAGGCGGTAGTTTCTTCGTCCTCCTCGTCGCTGGCGAAAGCTCCGGCCAAGAGATACAACCCAGCAGCTCGCCCTTCGTTGTTGTCCTTGTTTGCGTCGAACCTCGTCGATTGCACAGCCCAGCAGCTCGCCCTCTCCGACTCTCCGTCGATTTGAAAGGTAACTGGCGTAGCCGCGTAGCCGAGTACGTAGGCTGTTACCATGGTCCATTGATTTTCGCCATTACCATGGTCCATTCATTGATTTGTCATTTGTCGATTGTCGTAGACTCGTAGTCTCGACTCTCTTATAGACTGTTGCCGAGCAGAGAAGAGAGAAAGAGAAGCATGGGATTTTCGGTTTTGGTGGCAGAAGTAATATATTAAGAATTAGTTTGTTTTGTAATTTGTAATCAGTAATTTTGTATTATTGATTATTGTTCATTTTTGGCAGAAGGCAGAAGCAAGGTCAACTGGTCAAGGGGCGGTTTTTGGTTTTTTGTTACTTGAGAAACAAAGTGAAAAATGTAAGATAGTGGTTTAATGGTTTATGGTTGGGTGGTTTTTGTTCTTTGACATGTTTGCAATGGCACTTTAATGATTTTTACTTTTTATAATATTTTACTTTTTGTTATAGGACAAAACCTTCTCGTCCTCGTAAAGGAGATGGTCCGAAAAAAGTGGTTCAGTTCCTCCTCGAACTACTTCCAAAAAATTGGGTACTCGTGTTGGATTTGCAGAAGGGATTCAAGGGAATGTCGCATCTAGTACACCTACACCTACCACAGGCATTGAATCTGCACCTCCTACTGCTACTACAACACCTGCAGTTGCTACGCCAGCGGATGGAGTGGTTGAGCCAAAGAAAAATGTGAAGGGACCAGGAAGAAAGAAGAGATATGACTCACTTCTACTGTCACTCCAGGAATTGGCCAAGTGAAACCACTTCCTAAAGCGTAGTATAGCGGGTTTGGGTTTAATTATCAACCCGGGTCCTAGATCTGATGACTACTCAGTGAATTCTTGTTATCTAGCAATGAAACTGGAATGCAAGTCTAAACTATCAAACTAACCAAGCAAGTAAACTGTTGTATTCAGGTTAAGAGAGGTCACCCGGATATGGTTCCCCCTAGACTGCAGTTAAGCCGGATTGTAATTACCAAGTTCAGTTTCTATGATAGTTATACTGCGGAAGGTTCTTAAACAGCCTGAAGTCTCGACTAAAGGTCTTCAGACCCTCTCAATCTGAGTCTCTAGCGGGCGACTAACCTCCACCAGAGTAAACAGATTGAGGCCTTCACAAACAAAACCTCCACTACCGGAGTAAATCCGGTACAGAATAGTGAGTTGGCTCCTCGACTAAAGTCACCAACTCCCTACCTTCAATCAAGGATGCTCTATCAACCTAGGCAGATATTCTCATTCTAGGTTAAAGCAGAAACAACAGGAATTTGATCAGGATTCAAGTCATTCAATCATTCAAACCTCAATCGAATATAATTAAATCATAGAATCAGTTTTGGGTTCGTACAATCAAAGCCTAACATAAAAATCTAGGGTTCTCCATACCCAGATGAATGGGAGAACTACTCCATGGAGAAAGAAGCAAAAGCAGAATCAGCCGCGGAATTCATACTGTGAAGGATGGATTCCTGCTCCTGGACGTTGATCGGCACTTCTCCAAGCTCAAACTGGCCTCCAATGGTGTTGAAGATCAAGCTAGGGCGCTTGGAGACTCTTGTTCGTCGCTTTCTCTCTCTAGGAACTGATCTCTCTCTCTAAAACTCGAATCCCTTGATTTTCAGCCCTCTTTTCCCTTAAAACAGCTGCCTGTCACGATACCCGATCGAAATACCCGGTCGGGTATTTTGGGTCTCGACCGGGTATTATCAAAACGCACGTTTCACGCCAGGGGAAAATCCCCGGTCTGCTCCAATAATCCCCGGTCGGGGATTTAAGCTTCACGACCGGGCCCCCCTCTGTTTCTCACGGGTGCCCAAAATGATAAATACCCGGTCGGGTATTTTGCCACCTGACCGGGTATTTTCCTCCTGCAGCCCACTTCTTCCCAACTTTGCTCCTTTCGACCCAGAACTCGTTCCCTCGCCTCGATTCCAACGCCGGGTCCTGAAATATGACATAAACACACAACCTCGCGTGAAATCGGCTTAAACACGAGAGTCAACCTCTCAAACGGCTCAAGAATAGGGGTAAAAACATGTGTAATTATTGGTCTATCAAGATCCACGTGGTGGGATCATTATGATGATGCTCTGGTGGATGACTACCCATATGGTAAATGCAAACAATGTGGAACTTTGATAAAAGCTCACTCGATCAATAACGGGAATACTGGTTTGAAGAACCATCACTTGTCATGCGAGAGAAAGAGGAAGGCAGCCAGTGGTCAATCACTATTGAATTATCAACCTGGGGATGGTGAGGTAGGCTCTCTTACTCCATGGAAGTTTGATCAACAAAAATCTAGAACTGCATTAGCTGTAATGATCATCTTGGATGAGCTGCCATTTTGCTTTGTTGAGCATGAAGGGTTGAAGAGATTTATGGCGAAAACCCAACCATTGTTTGTGATACCTGGAAGACAGACAATAAGGCAGGATTGTTATATAATCTTTTTGGAGAAAAAAGAGTTGCTATCTGAGTTCTTCAAATCCAAGTGCAAAGGAAAATTTCTATCACCACAGATACATGGACTTCTGATAACAACCAGAACTTCATGTGTGTAACTGCTCATTTCATTGGGAGTGACTGGAAGCTGCAGAAGAGGATCATTAGCTTTGTTCCCATCACTAGTCATAGTGGGAAGGATATTGCAGAAAAATTGGCAGAATGTCTGCAAGATTGGAAAGCACAACATTTGTTCTCCATTACCATGGATAATGCTTCTTCTAATGATGTTCTTATAGAGTGTATGAGAACAAAGATGAAAGAGTGGGGAACAGATTTGTTTGGTGGGAAGTATTTGCAATTTCGATGTGTGGCACGTATAATCAATTTGGTTGTGTCAGATGGGTTGAAGGAGCAATATTCGGCGGCTAATGAAGTATTTGAAGTTCTTTTATGAGCTGACCTTACGGGTATCGGGTATGTGAACAGAACTCCACCTATTCAAATTCATGGTTTTTACTTTTATTAACTTGTAATATGTGAATAATTTGTTGTTATTTTTTTTTTATGTATTAGGAACATCTTATGTAACTGCTCATACTTTCTTCAAGGCTATTGGTGACATCTATGAAGTGATAGAACTTTTTAAGAAAGACATAGATGTAGAGATACAGCGGATGGTAGAAAGAATGGAGGCAAAGGTACGAAAGTATTGGTTTGAGAATGATGATGATGATGATGATGAGGTGGAGAACCTAAGGATTAATAGACTGGTTTACATGGCTTGTGTGCTAGATCCTAGGCGTAAAATGGCTTATTTGTTTTGGATGTTGGGTAAGATGTATGGGAAGAAGAAAGGAGATGATTTGGTGAAAGATGTCACTGCAGAGATGACTGCAATGTTTGAGTTTTACAGATTGAAGTATGCACCTCAACCCTCAGAGCCTACTGTTCAGGCCACTCCTAGTGTTGATGATGGATCTGTAGCTTATGGAGGGACATTTGATGCTGAATTCAAGAAGATGAGAAAGGAGCAACTTCAGATGGGGATTCGAGGTTTTTCTGAGCTAGACATCTACTTAAGAGATGCTAATGATGCTATTAACGAGGATGATAATGATATGAAGTTTGACATCTTGCTGTGGTGGAGTAAGAACGGCGTTAGATATCCTATTCTTTCCCAGATGGTTAAGGATATCCTAGCTGTTCCAATCTCCTCTGTTGCCTCAGAGGCCGCTTTCAGTTGTGGAGGTCGAGTGCTCAACCCGTTTAGGTCTTCGTTGAGCCCCATCATTGTAGAGGCCTTGATTTGTGCTGAAGATTGGATAAGGTTTGAAGGAGGGAAGAAAGAAGAAAAAGTTGATGATAAAGAAGATAAAAATCAAGACCAAATCGATTATGAAAGTGGTAAGAAATAAGAATTCATAATTTAATTTATTTTTAAGTATTCCTTTACTCATTTCCCAATAATATATTATAAGATGAATTCTAACAATTTGTATTTTTTATTATACTTAGTCACTACTAACTTCCAAGCTCGAATGGAAAGTGCTACTGTCATGCCAAGTGAAGGTGACAAACAAGCGCTACCTGTTGTGCTGGAGGAGGAGGAGGAGGAAGATGAAGAGCAGGAAGATTCAGACGAGGACGAGGAGGACCAAGATGAGGAGGATGATACCCTTCGCACCACTTTGAAGCAACAAGGTTTTGTTGATGTTGGTGGTACAGGTCCTAGTGGCAAGTGAGGAACTAGTGATTCTATTTTTTATCGTCATTTTTAGAACTTAATTCAAACATTTAGAAGAAGCAGGCCAGAGACTACTCCCTTTGGAATTATAGCTACGTAGTACTTACTACTATAAAACTATAATGCTATTTTTTATTTTCATTTTTTGGTATTTGCTATTCGAAATTCACTTGTTGGATTTCAATTTTTTGTTTCATTAGCCGACAAGCCAACAAAAGTTGTTCTTCCAAAGGATGATGCTCCTATCTCACTGTCAGTGTTCTGTAAAGCAACAAACATTGCAGTTTGCACTGTGTTATTCTTGGTCTCCTTGCAAACGGATTGGTCCATGGTAAGATGAATATCAATTTTTGTTAAAAAGGAAAAGGTCAATCACTGTCACTCACGGACAAAGAAGTGGGCAAGTCATATACTCATATATAATTATTAAATGGCCATGACCCTAGTAGTTTCCAGTGGCCCTAGTATCTTAATATAATTATTAAACTTTCCACACTCCACTTTCCAGCTTCGCAGAGACCGAGAGACGCATGACACAGACATGACATGATGTATGTCGGGAATTCGGGAAACCGCTTCCCATACCGAGAACGTTCCAGTTCGGCTGGCGGTATACTGAATTAATTCGGTAACGGCTAACAACGCAAGATTGGGGGAATCCGGTATTACCGAAACCGGAAAAACGGTAACGGTTAACACGTTAACCGTACCGTTATCACCCCTAGTATTGAGCACAAATACCACATCTTTCTAGGAACATAGCAAATGGATCAGGGCACTGTCCACTTTTATCATATTTTCCATAATATTCTCCACCTCTATCAGATCTGACGATTTTCACCTTTCTTTCTAATTGCCTCTCAACTTCATTGAAAAACACCTCAAGGGTATCTACCGACTGAGA